AAAAAAATGGATGACGTAGAATTTTAAGTGGCTATCAATCTAGAAAATGTTCCGGCACAGAAAAAAGAACAGCTCGCTTTTTTTTTCGAAATATAAAATGTTGTCATTTTGTTTACCCCCGGACGAGACTTCATCCCACCGGCGTCAACAACACTTAACACAATACATTCTATAGTTTGAAAATAAAGAAACTTTTGGTAAAACTCGCATCAGTCAAAGGCTGCTCCATTCGAGCTGAAACCTTGCGAATGGTGTCCGAAGCGGTAAGCCGACCATAACTGAATAGCTCTTCACATATGGCTTCAGCCAGTCCTCCGTATAACGTTTTTACTATTAAACAGCATCTGAAACCGTTCTCCGCTGAATAGTCGTCATTCAAATGAAAGTTTGTAGACTACCTTGGAGCCTTGGAAAATGCCAAAATTGCTTTCCTATCGACAGAATACATCAACCTGTTCGAGGAATCAATCTTAAAGTCGACGATTGAGTGTTGAATTAGAATAGCTAGGGACTTTTTCACCTGCAAATCGTGAAAACATAAAGGGTAATGGAATAACGAACACCTTTTTAAATAAACTATATTAAGAAAAAGCAACCAGCTCGGTGCGCGGATTAGCTGGCGAATACAGGGACTACTTAATATCAACTATGGAGTGGAGTAAAATTCAATGCGCTGAACGGTAAGGGAGGAAGGATTGGAATGAGCAGTAGGGAAGAAGTAGTCATACCGAATACTTATGAGCTGATAAGCTTGCCTCCCTTCCGTTAAGCTGAAAGATATTTGCTTCGATTCAGGGTCCAAAAGAAGACCTGCACATATCACATATCACGCCTAGCCCAAAGTTAATTAATGATCACAACTACTCTCAAGAGCCAAATCGAATGGACTTCAGATCACCAAGTCGCATCCAACTTATCCACCCTCCGTTTTGTCCCAACGAAATTCGTCTACTGTAGTGAAAACCATTGGTAACAGGGTTAGCCGCTAAGGTTGCTCGCCCTCTGCGTTCGAAAAGTTCGAAAAAATATCTTGAAATAAAGTGAAACAAAAAAATAAAGAACTGAAAACGCTACCGCGTTGAGTTTCACTCGACCTCTGAGTCGATACATAATATGAGGGAGTGGTCCAGATTCTGCATGCACCGTAGCTGCTACAAGAGCAACAGTTTTGCCAAAATGCTCTTCGACAAGAACATGGCAGAGCTCGGATTCGAATTGGCCTGCCATATCGGCTGAAACGGTCATACAGCACAGCAAGGAGGATATGTACAAAAGTAAAGCAACTGTTCATAATTGAAGCTGGAACTCTTCAGGATTCAGAGGGATTGATCGATAAAAAGGATAGCTATCCACCCTTACTGAATGCAATGAAAACCAAGCAGAATTTATAAGCATTTATTTGGCCAAGCAAACGAACATTGGCGAAAAAACAAGGAATAAACAATCCAACAAATTCAACAACAATCCATCAAATCAACAACTTAGTTCAACCACAGCTCCAATATATTTTATAAGATCATGTTCTCCTCTTGATAGCCTTGTTCTAGAAAGAAGATGATCGACGTGCTTCCTATTACTAAATATCAAACCTCTAGCCCACCTTTGACTTCACCTTCAATTTTTGACTCTTCTTTCTGTCGAACCGTGACTTTTTGCCTTTAGGTCCACCGGCTTGCCCTCCTTTCCTAAACATAAAAACGTAAACATTCTACCCAGAAAGTAGCGGAAGCTAAATATTAACCAAAACGTTTATTAGGCAGAAAAACAACTTTCACGACATTTTCATTTTCTGACTCTTTTCCAAAGCCAGTTGCAAACTAGCAGACCATTTCATTTGAAAAGTCTCGGAAAAAGCGTTAAGGAGCAGGTTATTCATAATATCATGATATCAAATAGCATTACCTTTTCTTGTTTGTGGAGATGGCGTCTCCTGACTCGTCGCGCATCATATAGTTACCGAAATTGAACAAATCTTCCATAACATTATCACGGTTAAGGCGCTGTTCTCGTTTCTTTTCCGCTTTGCTCATCCGTAAACGAACAAAGTGATCTTCTTCATATCTAAAAGGATCACATTCTTTTTTTACTTCAAAAAGAAGCAACTACCGTAAGCTGTACCTTTCCCTTTCTTTGTCGGCATCGAACCTTCGTTGACTCTTTTCCTGAACAGTTTAATTCAAAGAAGAAGTTATGAAACACCAAGAGAATAATAGGTACGCACTCTAAACTCTTCCGGAGCGTCACTGTACTGTTGTCTAAGTTCCTGTACAAGACTGCTCTGAAGTGCTCGTCTTTTTGCTTTTTCTATGGCCTTGGCCTCTCGTCCGTCTTCGTCCTCTATAAGTTTGATGCCAACTAATTCAACATATTGGAACTTTTCAAAGCGGAAATGTAAAAGTACACAGGGTAAAAAGCTAAATAATCTTATCAAGCTTCGTGCTAATTGAAGAGGTATATGTGAATTCATTGAAGACCTTCAGCCAGAATTACATGGAGAGGTTAGCAAACACGGGCATCAAAGGTAACAGCAAAACAGAAAAACGCTTACCCTCATATCTGACCGCCATCATCTTTGGTGGGACATATTTCTTCGGCTTCGCGTGGTTTTCTTCATTGTCTTGATCCTCTTCCGATTCGTCATTGTCGTCATCAAACTGAATTTTACTGCCTTTGTTAGCTTTCATGAAGATTTTCTTGCACCAGGCTACCAATTGTAATTGAACAAGTCAAATGCAATGAAAAGAAGCAGTAACAGGAAATCACCTCCATTTGGTCCGGTCTAGCGCGCAAAGGCGCTTTTGCTTCCCCATNTCTTTTTGCTTTTTCTATGGCCTTGGCCTCTCGTCCGTCTTCGTCCTCTATAAGTTTGATGCCAATTAATTCAACATATTGGAACTTTTCAAAGCGAAAATATAAAAGTACACAAGGTTAAAAGCCAAAATAATCTTATCAAGCTTCGTACTAATTGAATCGCGGAATTGAAGAGGTATTATGTGAATTCATTGAAGACCTTCAGCCACAATTACATGGAGAGGTTAGCAAACACGGGCATCAAAGGTAACAGCAAAACAGAAAAACGCTTACCCTCATATCTAACCGCCATCATCTTTGGTGGGACATATTTCTTCGGTTTCGCGTGGTCTTCTTCATTGTCTTGATCCTCTTCCGATTCGTCATTGTCGTCATCAAACTGAATTTTACTGCCTTTGTTAGCTTTCATAAAGATTTTCTTGCATCAGGCTACCAATTGTAAAGGAACAAGTCAAATGCAATGAAAAGAAGCAGTAACAGGAAATCACCTCCATTTGGTCCGGTCTAGCGCGCAAGGGCGCTTTTGCTTCCCCATTGTTGAGGCCCTGCAATTACTTCTTTGACGCAATGCTCAAACTGCAACAAGATAAACAAGAAAATTACGAACTTGCACGAGCTTATCGATTTGCGATTTCATTTTTTGCTCTATCGGCCGAATGCGTTCAAGAATCTGAAAAAATAGACTTGCTTTCAGACAAATATCGAGCAAAACATGAGACTCTTCTGTTAAAGATATTCTGAGCCGATTTTCTATAGGATATCTCAGAAACTCCCCCAAGTGAACCTCCCAATTAGAAAAACCAGAAAAAAAAACCATGTATGCTTACAAAGACGGAGCCTAGCGCGGAGGGATTAATGGTGAAGGATAGGTTTTGGCGTTAACCGATCTCTTTTTTTTTTGAATACATCCCACCTTTGACTTCCATTTAGAATGTCTATTTGTCAAAACCCTGGTTGGTTTGGGCGAGTATCGATCCGGATTCAAACTTTGAACATATTTGCCATTATACCACCTATGCCCCGTATGTGGAAATGACTTCAACTGTATCCTTTCGTAGAAAGGTCTGATCAACTTGGGTAGGAGCCCTCACCATTTCTTAGAATTAGCATACGATGATCTCGTCCATGGTGTCACCTCATGTACCGATTCATTAATGAGTGAAGAGCGATCAAAATATGCAGTGTAAGACAGAAAAACCTACCGTTTTATGTTTGCAAGCTCGAAACACAGCAGGATGGTCCTTGATAGACTTTCCGCAGCTCATTTGAGTCATGAGTAGCGAGAGCTCAGCCATATAGCTAACCATTTCGCGATTTTTCACATCCAGCAGGCTGATACCCTAATAAGCAGAAGCTGATTGGCAACAAGTGGAAGTTCGTTAATATTTATTGAGGAAATAGTAAGCATTAATGAAAAATAGAAAAACTACAATTCATTTGAACAGGCCATTGACTTGGGAGCCGATATATCCGACTATTCCTACCTTAACTTCAGCATTATTCACATAGAGAAGATCTCGAACGTGGCCTTTTGCGGCTCGAAAAAGAGATCATAAGGATGTGTTTTCATAGAACAAAAAGTTAGTTGAAGTTCCGAAATTCCGTACTCTAGAATNTAGATAGGTTAACGATCATGAGACTAACGTACCTCCCTACCAGTTCCTGCATTTTTCAAAGCGCCAATAAGCTTTTCGACATTTTCTAGAGCTTCCGTTGATGTTTTTGCGCATTCACGTGCAACTTGAGCGAATCGGGTTGAGGCTTCTTCATCAGCCATATAGCCCGCCAACTGATTACTTTCAACTTGTATTCAACAGCAGTATTAGGAACTAGAAATGAGAGTGGGCGTATTTGCCGAGCACACCTGTGATTGGAGGGCTAACCTAACAATCACTGGAAACACTCCCACGCGCAGTGGATCATTGAGAAAAAACATTAGGCTGAGCTTCCAATTTATTCAGAAATTTCAAACAAATTGAGCAAAAATTTTCATTCAACGTCTCTCAGACTGTATTCAATATGTACAAAAATTTCAATACAGTTATCAAAAACTATACATTTATGTCATAAACTATATTAAAACTATCTAATACCCGTAGCACTAATAGAGAAGACCACTACTAACAAATGACGTTCAACTTGATGACGATGATGGTGTATCGCCAGGCTTTTTACTTCCATTAGCATAGGCGACAAACATTTCTTTTAGAAATGACAGCTCCTTTTGAAGGGATTCAACCTGAACCAGACATTTCAGCAGAAAATAAAAGAAAAAGTTTAGAGAGCCAAAATAGAAAGAATAATTCACCTGTCGTTCGAGCTTTTCATTTTCCACTCGAAGTTCCTCAACCTTTTTAGCAGTTTCTGTTTCTTCTTGTCTTTTCTTTTCACGAGTCCTATAAACTCATACTTAACGAGGATACGAATTACATTTCAAAGCCTTATACCTAGGAATTTAATTACAGTTATGGTGGGAGAAGTTACCTGTTCACAGCTTCGTTATTTCTCCGCCTTTTCTCCTCATAATCTTCGTCCTTTTCCATTTGAGGAGATCGCACTCCATTTCTCTTTCGTCCTGTCATAATCGCCTGAAGAAGGCTTTTATAAACTTGCTTCAAAAATCTAGCCAGACCGTAAGCAACCAGTTGAACATGAAAATAAGAGGCAGACCAAAATAAAAAAACTTGAGAAAACCGACAAACTTTTAGTGCAATAATGCGTCAGGAAAAAACCTTCGTACTTGAATAGCTACAGTAACCCGAAATTGAAGCAGAGGTTCCATTTTTGGTAAGGACATATGTATTCCACGGAGTTTTCCGGTAACTAAACTGGTCCCCTTTCGGTTCTTTCAGTTGTAATCTTTCTTGGCTTAGGTGAGCATGATAAATAGGAGCAGCAGGCAACCATAGGCCTCGGGAATCGCTTGGAAGGCACAGTCCGAGACCTGCAGTTCGCTCTAACTCAGCGCCATAATGGAAAATTCAGATTCAAAGACTCCTTCGTCAACGGCAATCTGAGAAAAAATCATTGGAACGTGAAGGCCTGATCGAACTTTCTCAAATACTCTTCAGTCAGAGAATTACTGGATGCCTGACCCTCTTGAAGCTGTATAGGCAACATTAAGGTCCCATATAATTTACTCGGGCTTCGTCCCAGAAAATTGCTTCCAAAAAGAAAAAAAACAGGCATAGTAATGCCAAGGGACTTGCATTATACAATAAATAAACCAAACACGGGAAAAGTTCGAATCAGAAAAGCAGTCAATGAAGACGAAATCAACGTTGGGAAAACATAATTTAGTGACTCCTACTTGGTTAGGAGTGTGAGTCAACAATTTTGAAATTAGTTTAATAGGGAATGACTATCTCGGGAATCCTTTTTTTACACCCGGCTTCCTCACCTACTGATAACGCTGATGTCGGTGCATTCGGAAGCCGTACGTTTGGAATTTCTCTCTGATGACACCGATGAAAAATACTTCTGCATCGGACGATAAGAAATGGCCTGTGGTGAGGTCTGGTGATTTCCGCTGATAATTTTTGCAAAATGTATTTGGAATGAAAGCAATCTTCACAGTCGCTGAACGAGTTGCTCCTATCCCTCACTCCTCCTTCGGGATTAGGAAAAAAGAAATCAATGGTAATGCTAAGGGATAGTACAGATATAAATGACATACGAAATTGATCAATATGTAGAAAATTGGACGCACTACCTCACTTATATGATCCCAACACGATATTTGCATGAATCAGTCACTGGGGGTCTTTTCCGTAGTGGGCAGGACTTTCAAAGTGAACCAAGGCATTACATGTTTAGTTTACCAAGTTGGGCGGAAATGGTGTAGTCTAAAGTATACACGCATGGTCACGAGTTCGAGTCCCGTATTGATAACCGCCTAGATCACTTAAGCCTTCCATTCCTCCGGGGTCGGTTGGCTGGTCCCAGACTCGTCTGGGAGGGTAAGTAGACCAACTTGTACATCCGGGACACCGAGAATCATTGTATAGGCCACAGTGCATTCAATCTGCCACTACGATTCTGAATAGAAGTCAAAGGCAAGGCCCATCTCTCAGACGGGATCAATTAACCCTAAGGCTCTGGCCTTTATCTGGATAGCTCCATCGGCCTTGCCTAAGTTACTTGAAAACCGTAACTCTGGAATTTATTTAGCAACATTAGGCGACCTTACAGATAGTATACTCGACAGCTGAATTCGATCCCTCTATGTTGTATGCTGGACCGTCCCTTTTAGCGCTGCACCAATTGCGCTAAATTGTGCGGAAACGAGCTTGTACCTCATCCTGAGCCCTGCCCCCAGTCAACTTCTTCCGTATCATTACCCTACAGTGAGACAATTAAAATGTTACTATCAGTCATTTTGTTTTTAGGTGTTCGCAACGATAATCAGCCCATATACTAGTAGTAGGGGGGGGGGGGGGGGNACGATAATCAGCCCATATACTAGTAGTAGGGGGGGGGGGTACTACGAATTCAACTGAAGCAGCGATAAGATAAGAGGGCCTTACCTATCACAAAGGAAACATGCCATTCGAGCTTTGAAAAAAAGCTCGAGAGGAAAAAGCTCTGTCAACTACAAAGCCACCGCAAATGCTTCAGTGTATCGTTGCTGTTGCAGTGAGGGAATTGTTTACGAAGTGACGGAGGGTCGTTTCCGTAGTTACCATGTCGGTGGGATGGGACTGGGAAAACGGCGGCGAAGCCCATCCATATAAGAGCACGTTTCTCGAAGTTCTGCCCATATTGTCGTCCGAAGTCAACGATTTTCTCCCGGCAACCGCCAACATCCCCAAATCGCTGTTCTTCCTCTGCAATTATTGCTCCTTTCGGATAGAAAAAAGCGAGATTAAATGAAAAGGTAGGTCTCCCAGAGAATTTTCTCTACATAGTTCGTGTTTGCACTCTTTTCAGAACCCCTTTATGCCAAAATGGTTATCCATACCCGAATAGTAGTTAGTAGCATGTCATACCATAAAAATGAGATGCCAATAACCCTCCTTATGGTGGCAATAAGCCTTTTCTTCAGCTCCGTATCGAAATAAGTGCTCTTACCTGGGATGAAATTGCTTATTATACTTTGTATTTTATATATTTTATATTTATTTATTTGTTTTTATGTTATTTATATATTTGATATAGCGGTTCGTATTCGTGTGAAGTATGTTTTTCTTCCAATATTTAAATAACAGCAATAATTTTAATTTGGTAATTTGGTTATTGGCATAATAATGCGTTAGCATAAACATAGGAACTATTATATGAATATAATAAATAAAAAATAAAAGATAATAAAAACAATAGGTAAAAAATCAAAAGAATATTCAAGTAGAACCAAATAGAAATGCTCACTTAGAAAATAGGGTAATACGGTAATAGTTCGTCAGGATGTAGTACAGTTGTTTGATTCACGGTAGTCACAGGGCGGACGTGGTGTAGCGGCAAGTGGCGCCCTATCACACAAGTATGGTCACGATCTCGAATCTCGGATCGATGCGCCAACCAAGCCTGCAATCGCTCCGGAGTCGCTTAATTGGTACCAGACTCGTTTGGGAGGATAGAAGTAGTGACTTGTTCAGCGGCTGGCCACCGCAGGTCATTGTAAAGGCCACAAACGCATTCAATACGCCATTACTATTCGAAATGGAAGTCGAATGCAGTGCGGCATCCTTCAGGCGGGATTGATCAGGGCTCAGAAAATTTTATCCTTCTCCAATGCCATTAAGGTAGAAATGATGTAGTAGCACTTTCACATGAGCACGGTCCAGAGATCGAATCCCAGACCACATTTGTCCAGGCTATCCATGTCGTCCATCATTCCAGGCCGGTCAATAGCTACCGCAATCATCTAGGATCGTCTGAACAACACTGCGATTCCGAACGGAAGCCGGATTCGTGGCGCATCCTTGACACGGGATTGAATAAATCTCAAAGGCTTAATCCTTTTTCACTATGCCATTATATTATTATTATTATTATTATTATTATTATTATTATTATTATTATTACGCTATTGGTCAGCTTACGCTATTGGCCAGGAAGTGCTGTGCATATACATAGAAGAGGCAAGGGTGATAGATCGAGTGATTAAGCTCGTATTATATTTGACTGGCCTCTCGAGGATGATTTAGATGGTTGTCCGAGCAACACAGTAGTGTAAGAGGGCCGGCTGATTTTCAACGATCTATAACATTCACCTGGTTTGCCAACTTTTTGTGTAGTAGGCTATTTCTGGCCCGGGAGAATACAGGTCCCTTCCCTCTTCAGCAGAACTTCCCAGCTGGTTCGTTATAGGCTGTTGACCGTCTTATGGATTGGGCAAAGCATGTCTTAAATGCCAAGGCTTTCATGCCTAATCCTATTCTATTAAGTCATAACTAGTACGTATGAGAAAAGAGTAGAGGTGTTCTCGTCTCGAGCTGATTGTGAGCTATAAGCAGCGCGTTGTCGTCATGATCTTTTGTTTATCAAGAATCTACCAAACTGCTACCGTATTCTTATTGTTAGAAATGATTAAATGATAAGCCTCTTTCAATTTTCATTTCAGATTTTCAGCTTATCATATAAATGTTATGGGCTTTGAAGCAAAGTACAAGAAGAGTTTCGCAAACTCTTTTCAATTTTTGAATGGTACCTCCATGCTGAGTTTACTTCTGAAGACGTTCCAGCAATATGAGAAGGGACTATCGATTTTCGCGCCGATGAAATCGATACTTTTATGTGAGAATGCGCTTTCGCAGCTAGATCAGACAGACTCCGAGCATAATTTTTTCTTTATCAGGAATACATTTGAATTCAGAAATGTAGGAACCAGATCGGCTATTCATAGAAGACCTATTCAGTGATAATCTATCAGGGTAGTCGTAATATCCTGTCTAGAAATTCCTGATAAACAAATGAGAGCAGACGCTTGCAGCTTATCCGGTCATTTATTTTCTTCCCTTCCTCAGGTCTGCCGGACATTCAACCATAGCGGACAACCCCAGTCTTAACAGCTCACGTAGTTGTATATCAAAGCACACAATATGGCTACTGCCGACTGTAATCTAATGGAAATGTATACGGTAGCACGAGTTTTATGAGTAATAAAAATGATTACTCAGGTAAAGAGTTGGAATTCAATATTAGAAGTAGTAAGATGGTGAAATCACAGCCTCTAGAACTGGGTAGAATCTAACGGTGAGGCAGCGTAGCTTTATATCTCTTGAGTGGCGTACCGAAAAAAGACTGAGATTGGTTAAGTACTGAGTTAGGTCAGCAGCAGAATTTCCAAATCTTTGGGTATGTTCAAAATGACTCAAATGCATCTACAAATTTCATTTATGATCAGGCCCATGGCTTAACCAAGCTTTAGAAATTTTGAATTCCCCACAGGCAAGGCTTTTGAAGTCAGTACTACAGTGACTGAATGCTTCTCACTTTTAGATTAATGTGAACTTTGTTTTGACTCTCGCCTCCAATTCATTAATTCAGTCATGACCGGAGCGGAAAACAATTTTTTATTCCATAATTTGTCGCACCTGGCCGGGATAGCACCTAAGCAAGTGCAATCTTAAGGTGTTGCCCTTTCGATAGCTTACCAGAGGTGACGTAACTAAGTCTTAAAGCAATAAATTACGCATAGCCTATTCGCTTTTTTTTTGCAGTAGGATTGAATATCCTTTTTTTGGTAGCACAAGACCACGACTTTGATTTTACTCTCCCATTCCCTCAATTCAGTCCTGACCTGAAATAATGACTCTGGAGATTATTCTCAATCCCTCCAACCATTCTTCTACATTCACCTCGCCTTTTTCGAATCCTAGAGCGTCTCTCGGGCAAGAGTCCAGTTTCTGGAGCTTTCGGGAGTCTTTCCTGGTCCTATCTCACATGCTTGACGCCAGAATGTCCGGTACCCACCAGCAATCGCCGAAATCGCCGCGCGATGAAAATTGCCTTAGGACTTGCCAAATTTTGGCTATTTTTCAAGAACTGCGACCTAATAGTTCTAGACAGGCCTACAAATATAGAGCGTGGCAGTTTTTAAGGTACAACAGAGAAACTACTTCCTTACTAGCCATTCTGTGAGAATAGTTATGAACTGCATGATCAAAAACTGCAGTGACTTATGTACGAGATGTGGGAATATGGCAGAATATCATAATTATGCTATAAGTACGATTATAACTGGGTGCAGGTGGTTCAGTGGGGCACTATAAACACGCTTGGGGATAGAGTCCAGTTCTGATATCTGTCCAGGTTAACCAAGCCTTCCACGCCTATGAGGTCGGCTATCTGAGTATCAGACTCGTCTGGGAAGATAAATTGTACATCGACTGGCCATCGCAAGTCATTGTGTAGGTCACATACCCAAGCAAAGCGCCTCTACGATTCGAAGTGAAAGTCGAACGCAGGGCGCATCCTACTGATCAACGCCGGAGCCTTTTCTTTTTGTCCTTTATGGTTATAGTCACGTACACCGTTCAAAGCTACTTTTAAACTCGAATTATGCTTACTAATGTATTTTCGTGATTTCGAATTTACCGTAGATTTAGAGCTACTGATTTTCAGGAGGTGATATGCCCGGACTGGTTTCATGTCCACATTGTGACCGTCTGTATAGCAATCATTCACTACAGCTACATATTTCGAAGTGTAAAGATAATCCGAACGCTGTCCGTCGATTTTCGGTGGTCCTGAAAAAGAGCACGAACACAAAAAACTCAAGACCTAGGACGCGATCATTATCACGGCCTGTTGGAGGTGAGTGCTTCTTACCTTTTGTTAATTAGGATAGCCGTAAACAATGTCTTTGAATCCGCCTCTCTGTTTACCCCTTGTTTTGTTCATTTGTTTACTAAAAAATCCTTAAAGATGTGACTCGATATGAGCTCTCCCCTCAGGACTCACTGCTAAAACAATGCCGTATTGGGTGGGGATTGTAGTTGTGGGCGGATGTGAATCATGCGTTCGGCGTAGTGCTAGCGGATAGGCTCATCTTTAAGGCAAGGCAATTACTACAGCGAGATTCTGTAGGATTGAAATCACTAGCTTTAGTGGAGGGTGCTGAAAACATGGGCTAAAGTTCAATTCCGAAGATGCCAGTCTTCTTTCGCCCATTCCTACCAGTACGTAGCATTACATCCGCGCAGTCGCAGAAGCTCTGTTCTTGATAGCTGCCATGACTTTTTTCCATCTTCGGTATCTTCTGCCGTTACTTTAGCTTCGGCGAAGTCCTTTCTAATCGCAGCCGTCCATGTTTCTTTTGGGGCTCCTCATCGTAGTTGCTCTCCGTGAGTTTCGATCATTGCTTTTCTCACTGATAGGTCACTGTGATTTCAAAGGGTGTCGAGTACATGGCGTATTGTTGACGAATGGCCATTTTCGAATATTATGTTGTTTACGCATGATATCAATTGTGTTATTCTGTCATATGCTATGGTGATGTCTTTATGATGAAAATGTCCCAGCACCTGTCCGCTCGTACTTGACCTTAACCTACTCCATAATTTTTTTTCAGATGAATTCCGTTTGTGTTATGTGTGTGGGCAAAGGATGGATGAGAAGAATATTGGTTCACATGAGGAAAAATGTCTAAAAGGTACGTCAGGCTATTCCTGCACTTTGCCCCATACCCCTCAATATATCTAGCTGCCGATAGCGTGTGCTTGTGATCGACTATCGTGGAAAGGACATCAGTTACTGGGACGCTCTAAGTGGGTAGGGGGCACAGAAGTAGTTAAGGATGGGAGAAGACCAGTCGGAAGAACCGGCAATGACGAGATTGGCAATGAATAATTTGAGAGCAAAGGTTTGGTGATTCCTTGAATTTCCACCGTAAAATGAAGTGCGTTGGGGGTAGTTGTAGGCGAAATGTACCCCGTTCAAGGAGCAGTCGTGTATCACTAGGGAATCAGGTATGCGCTTCTATGCTTGGGTTGCACGCACAGTATATGTCAACCTGGTGGCCGGGAATCTTCCAAAAAATCTCACCGGCACGGCATGGGAGCACCTTACCAATTCCACCAAAAGCTTGTAGTTCATCCTTTACATTTGAGGAGCGACCACCTTTCTTCAGATGTGTCGATTCTCTTCAAAAAATCATGCTCCGTCATCCTTTCCAAACCTTACTGTCTTCGTAGTAGGACCGGCCTCTGCAGCGGCCCACCTCACTCTCACGTATCACCCCTCTCTCGTGAAGTTCCTCAGTACGAGCTAAGTTGCCTCCGAAATAAACATATGGAATTAAAAATCTTGACTATCATCAACCACATTTTAGGTTGCACCCTCGCAATCCACTTTTTTTAGAATTGACGGGTCGTATGAATGGGTATGTGACCTCTGTGTTCCGTTCTAGAAATACGATTTGTCTTAAATTCAGCTTGGTCTGAAGCATGCGACCGTCTAGTAGCGCGGTTCGAATCCCGTCCTCCGATGCCATTGATGATTCCTTCGGTGGATGGAACGAGCGATAGCCGTCGACTGAATGAACATGCCTCTGTGCAAGCGACAAAGGCACAGACTCTACGATGTCGCCGGTGCAGTGCCAAGGTGCCGTTGAGCAGTGCCGATCAGCATCGATGCACTCGTTTCGATCCACCAGTGGAATACTTCTTCTAGCAAAGAATTCCTTCTTTGAGGCTTAATCTGAGGATTTCAATTCAAAGCTTGGTACGATTGTGATACGTGAATTATAATTTTTTGTGATTATTTCTAATTTTACAAGTTCGTGCCAGTCACTAATGCTTGAATGACTGGTAAAGCTGGATCTGAAAGTGAAAATAGTTTCGAAAGCATCGCAATGAGTTTTTCAGATTTTAACAGAAAACTTTCTTTGGAATAATATTGGAATAAGCCATGACTGTGATGAATATACGTGATTTATCAAATTGTTTATTGTCTTGACCGGAGTAAGTGGCTATTTATTCATATCGATCCATTATGCTGTTTAATTTGATAACTTACCACCTGAATTTGTTATCGGCTTATATGTATACACCCTCAGGAGCTAAGGGTTGAGCATGAAGTAATCAAGTGAAGCTTTTTTTAGTCGTATTTCTGTAGATAATTCAATGTAATGATAAAACGTTGAATAAAACAGTTTGCCTTTTTATTCTTTTACAGTACATGCGCTCCTTTCAATATATGGAACGCCTCGTTCGGCTTATACCTTTTTTGTTGGTAGCTCTAACTCTAGCAATTAGCTCTAGCTTCTACTCCGTCACCATGTTACGAAACCTAGCTGTACTTCCTAAGCACTGCTCTATTGTAGAGGTTGAAGGATGTTTTAAACATCGATTATTTATATTTTTGGGATGAGCCCACACATATGACTTTTGTTCAGAATTGCAGTGGCATTTGAAAGGGTTCCTATCCCTGAATAACGTGCTGGACTAGTTGTTGTACAAATTAATCATGAAGAGTCTGATAATGACCCTAGAAATACCGAAATGCTCACTGTTTTTGGCATGTATCGGGCTGGGATCGGATCCGTTGCGGTGTTAATGTGTAAAAGACATTGAACTCATCGAAAGAACGGATAGGGCTTTCATGGGTGCGCTACAAAAGACTAGAACGACTAGAACGGGAAACAGTTCAAAAACAGTCCTGTTGGGTAACTTAATTTCTTCAAGGTCAAGTGAGTAGATGACTATTGGTAGCCATATCTGCGTGGTATCTAGTGAAAGCAAAAAAGAGAAGCACAAAGCAGCTGTGAGAGGATAGGGCTACCTAAGGCTCTCACACGAGATCAGCTTTTCAAAGTTAACTTTGACACTTCCTTAGGAGGAATCCCTAACAGCAGCCCCTTGAAAGGAGGATGATTGGCTCTGACGATTGATGACTAGATTTCGAGCATGGCAGCAATTTGCTGCCGGCACCGATATACTTACTCGACCAATGTCGTCATGTAATTTTCGTAATTAAATCAGTGAGATTGATTCTTTCCTTTCTTATCTTTTGTTTCAGAGGTTTATTTCTCCTTCCCATCAGTTCCCTATACAGTTCCAGGCCGAGCAAACCTAACACAAACAGTTTTTACATCTCCATGAGTACTTTATTCTATTTCTTGAAAGAAATAAATATCAATAATGGCCTCTGATCGGAGTTGATTTTTCGTAGTAATAGGCTTCCGGTTGTGTGGTAAAGGCACATCTTAATCAGCCCGTGAGTCCGTAGAGTTCATCCAAAATCATCATCTGAAATCATTCATCTGAAAATATCGATTAATCCAGTAAAACTCGATTTTTACTCTGATAAAGAGTTACTTAGGTTGTGAAATAGTTACTGGCTAAAGACACTGTCTCTAAAAACATGGTCCTGATTAACTTCCTCGAATGCTAAGTAGGGTTTTTTGCTATCGACGTCTAATGAGGTACCAGTACTGCCCTTGAGTAATTGCTCTTCTTCATCTTTTATTCATAATCATTCCGTTTACACATTCCGAATTTCAAAGGTACACTTGAAGGTCAAGCAATCTTCTAAGTAAAAGTCGCTCGAGTCTGGGAATCAAGCCTTTTAAGTTGCGCCATGCACTCGCTTCAACACAGGATCGCAGAGCTTGAATGCCTATTGAGCCCAAGTGTGAATCACCATTGCCATTCAGGAGGATTAAGCTTTTCAGAGCTGAGCAGGCTTTTTTGTAGGATGCGCCAAACCAGTGGACGTTCATTCTGAATCGTAGTAATATTTGAATATGTAGATGGCCCATGCAATGACTTCGGGGTGCTGCCATCCGATGTATGGATATGAGGGCAGCTGCCAATCAGGTTCGGTGGTTACCAAATTAATTTCAAATATCTCAAAATCAGTGGTCAGCCAACAAGTAAAGAAAGTAACAGCTTATATTTCGGAAAAGATGAGCAAAAGTGAGGTATGGGTCACTCATCGGCGGAAGGTGGATCGTTCTCGCTCTGGGCGGTATTTACCACATAACAACCTAATCAACTAGCTATTTTATTAGGGGAGTGTGGTCGCCCCATCAATAGATGTCCTTGATCCAACATTGAGAGTAACTGGGAACCAAAAATTTAAAGTGGTATCATTAATCGAAAGTCCTTAGACCTTCAAAGAGGCCACTGAAGTTACAGCTCTTATAGAGGCCCTGAGAATGGTTGTCCAGAACACTGGCTGGGCATTGACTACTAACCTCCACTATCAGACGTAGAACTCATTTCCTCCTTGTGGAACGTTTTGATGCATGACTGCTTTAGAGACCTCATAGGAAGAACTACTCCGTCGACACAATACAAAACAGCACAGTGCCAATATGATTGCTAAACAGGCCACTGAACCACCTGTGGCCAACCATTGCCATAGGTCCATCGCTGAAATACTGACTAATGCAATCTATTCAATAGGATTGGGCGAGCACATTATGAAGGAAACGAAATCATAAGAATACCGAAAATGACGACAAAAAGCTATCAGTGGAACTCTTCATTTTCCCTACATATTTTGATAAGAATGAAAAAAAAATTGAAGAAAACATAGCTGAGTGAGTTTTCCGGCGTTCTACCTAAAAACCCGCACGGCACAAGAATGTTCTAGTCACAACAACTATGACCGAGGTTAAACAAAAGAGGATTTAAAGACTATTAAGTGAATTCATCTGTGCGAGTTAGGTTCGATGTGATCGGGTTTGAAGGAAGGAGGTGAATCACGGTGCAGTAAGCTCAATCGGAAACATTTCAGATGGCGGACTGAGTGCTGAACAACTCACTCAAATCCGACCTTCGAAGTAGTTAGCTTAGAGCGTAAAAATGCAATCAGACTATAATCATAAGCTAATAAAAATAGCAGTATGGAAAAGGAAGTGAGAGAGCAGTCCTAGGGTGATTCGTAGTCTCCAAAGGTAATGACTAGGCGTCATTTTTACAGAACAACTTCAGATAATGAGTGGCTGCTTTCATTACCATTTTGCAGAGAATGCAGTGACTTCTCTCTAATGAATGGCCTACACAGTCAATGAAATTCTTGCAGGGCTTATGCAAATCATTGGGAGAGCGCCCTCTCTAGCAGACGACTATCCAACTTTAGTTCTTTTCAATTTTGCAAAAGCCTCCAAACGGTGTGTCAGTTGGGAAATTAGGTAGTGCTGCCAAAGTCTGTTACATATCCTACTCAGAATTTTCAATTTCGTGAATAAACCTTAATCGATCTCGCCCCAAGACCGCCTGAGGGGTTCAGTTGAGGTTCAAGTTTCTGCCAACAGTTATGGAGAACAAGGTCTTGAAGTTTGAATTGAAGTTTCTGATAAGCACGGCCAGGCTTAGTATCGCCTCACTGACGCATAACCTACAGAAGCCCTTAGTACGCTGATACGCTGGCTAGTACTCCATGAAATCCGTCGTCTAAACGGTTTGGAGTCACAGCTGGGATTCTGGGGATTCTGTCAGAACCAGGAAGCACGGCGACGTAGAGAATTGTCAACATGACTGCCCCTCATTTCGAAGCACCACTTCCCTACCCCAAATGCAAAATCCTCCTCTTAAACCGAGCAAACAAATTTATTGAATCATAACAAACAACTCAACTGCGCCATATAGCGTCCTTTATGGCGAATGATGGCTATAGTCAAATTCAGGGTACAGCGATGACTCAAAAATGGCTATAGTGAAACTCCGGGCATGACGATGGCTCGGGAATGATTCAGAACAGGACCTCATGCAAATTCTTTCGATATAAAAAGTGTAGTTCATCAATTGCACTGAATTAATCGCGGCAATGTGAATTAATGTAGGTGGCACAGAGTCATTTGCCCTTCGGAAAAGCTCATTAGAATGCCATTTTCCTCTCAACTGGTCTTTCTTACATGGTACAGCGGAAAAGCAGTGATTCAGATATCAGGAATAGAAGTTAATAAAATCGGGTTAATGAGCGGTTTTCTAGAGAGTAGTAGGTACAAGTGTACGAGTTCTCTATGTGAAAAAGCAAAAAAAGAACCATCGGGGAGGAGTCTTCAAGTGAATTAAAAGAGAACAATGGAGTGATGAAATATTTCGATGAAAATGGTGAATTTTCACTGATTACTTTATAGAAAGTCAGTCTACTGTGAGTGTGCAGGGTTCAGTGCGTATTAAGAAGTGCGAAGACCGCGTAAACGTTAGCCTAAATTACCAGATCGAGTTTTGCCTTTATAATCGTACATCGGAAAAACTGGTCAACCAAGCTGCTAATCCTATTAAGGACCATGTGGCTAACGGTACCTGGGCATACCCGTCTGGGAGTCAAGGAACTCCAATAGTGGAAACCGATAGTAAGAGCCATGGGGAAATTCAGAAGAACTTAGCACGGATTCACCGAAACATTTATCTTTTGGAGAGCCTTGGTCCTGTTCTAGAAACTTAAACTTACAAAAATTAAAACATAAAGATTTTGTGAAATGACGGGTATTCGTTGAAAAGTGTTCGAATCTCGGTGGGGTATTTCCTTACTTCGACTACCACTGGGCGGTTTCCAGGATGATAATTACGCAAAGGTTCGCATTCCACCTGACAGGTCCTTCCCCTCAATGACCATGACCCTAGTTCTAAAAAGGACAAGAGTTTTATATATTTCTAGAATGATATTGATCGTTTGTGTAAATTTGCAAGAAATGAAAATTTCCAAAGCTGTCTGAC